GAGCTCTACAGGGCAGGGGAGGGAATTAGGAGAAAATTGAAATATTAAAGATTATTTACTTTTTTTAAATAAAATTGGGTCAGATGGTCAAAATCAAACATTTTTAAAGTTATTCTACATTTAAATCTTACAGACTGTGCCTTTAAGGTGTGTCTCCTAAGGAGGGCTAGGGCTGGTTCTATAGGGGCCCGGGCCCCTGTGGGCCCCCGTTTAAAACCGCCAATGGTCTCCTTTGCACCCAAATCAATCTAATCTGACCAAATTTAACAAACTGCTAAACTTACTAATCACAGGAAGGTGTGCTGTCCACAGAGTGATTTTACAAAGAAAAAAACAGAACCAAGAAGGTAACCAAGCACTACTGATCTAGCAAAACAACATTTTCTCTCATGTTTAGTGTTTATTGTTTGGAAATCTGCCAGCATATAAATCCTTATCTAAATAATCCTTGTATTCTAATCGTGAGCCTGCAGACTTGGAGCTTCCACCCAGATAACGAAGGAAAGCCGCCAACACAGCGTGCAGACGTATTAGGTCTTTACAGCTTTGTATAGAAGAAAGTAGTGACGATGATGATGGTAATGGATGTCTAGGTAGTAGAGAACAGGTTATAATGATAGAAGAAGAGAAAGATGACAGTGATGAAGGAGAGGACATAAACTCGGGAGATGCTGAGAGTGAGAAGGATGAAGATGAACAGGAATGGAGTGAATCAGAAGATGAAGATGTGCTTACTGACATGGATCAACCTTCAGATGAAGCTCTTACAAAAGGTGATGTTTCCTACAGAACCAAGAGAATCAAAAACAGGGCATTTTTTCCACATTTGTACTTCTAGCGTTTCCAGAACTGGATCCAAAAATGATAATTTCAACACCCAAGAATCTTGCTTTGCAAATCCAACCAAAGGTTCTCCTCAAAAGGCTTTCATTGGTAAGAATCTGTGTAGCTCAGGCTTTGGTCCAGTTGGACGTATGAATCCCAACATGTTCTGTGACCTTCCCATTTTCTTCAATGGTGGAATTTGACAAAAACCAACAACCCTTTTTAACTATGATGGTCACCTTCATGTTGGTTTTAACGGCTCCATTTTCTGCTACGTCACAGGATGATTGTCAGAGCATCAGCTTAAAGCATCCAACAGGTTTGTGAGCAGTTAACACGACCAATCTGAACATTTTATACATTCATAAATACCGTTTTTGTGTTGCACCTTTCCAGACATAAGCTTAGTCACAAGGTGCTTTACAACCGCAGGTGAGAAATGACGAAACTACAGCTGATCCAAGACTCCTCATAACAGCCATTTTCAACAGATGAGTTTTCAGAGTCAGATCTTTAAAGAGCAAAGGTAATATATGATACAATATCACCGTTGGGACCACTGAGATGTCATTTAATTTAAATATGAGGTATTTCCTGAATTCATTTTGAAGTAAAACGGTCTGTTCAGTGAAGCTCCGCCCGCGCCAAGAAAACACACCCACAACAGTGTCTTAGCCAAGCCTGCTCTTGTACTGGCCTTGGTAGTCCAGCGGTTTAACCCCCAGAGACCCACGGTTGGAATATTACAACATCAGATTTAAGTCTACAAAAATAAACCTTCCCCATTTTTTTTCTTTTTAAAACCACATTTACATTGCTAATAGGTCCTACTGTTCAGTTCTGCAACACTATTGGCTGTTAAAATGCGTAAATAGGCCTGTTTATCTGGCCTCCTAGAACAACATGTGAAAGGTTAAAAAAAGATTTTGCAGTTGTTTTCTAAATTTGGGTTTCTGGGGGTTAAGGGATTTAGACATCGTAGCAGATGTGATCCATGCATATGGTAAAGAAACACCATGCTGGCATAGTTTCAATATCTGTGTTGTGCTTTTTAATTGACTGACAGGCCGTTTCTTTAAGCCTTCGGACAAGCTTGAAGACAAACCAGACACGGAAGAGAGTAGTGACTCGTCCATCGAAGACAACTCAAAAACAGAGCCCTTACAAACACCAGACGCAGTCATCGTTGAAGGGGTTTCGGGAGAAAATGGAGAAGACTTTATCAATGAAACTCTTAATGAACAAAGAGGAACCAACGCTGGGATTGACCTCCTCCTCCTCAAGCCCTGCAACTAAAACCAAAGAAAAAGAAATAACGACTAGTCACAATTCAAACCTTCAGACAGCCCTTGCTCATTCAGCCACAGATGAAGATGATGACAAAAAAAGTGTGTTTTCAATCAGTTGTACATGATTCGCTCTGCTCTTGTGTTAAAATATTCTCATGTCTTTTGATAAGATGAGGACGAGGATGAAGAAGCCAATGAGTTGGAGACGAAACACTGTGGAATGGAGGAAGAAGTAGAAAGCTGTCCAACCATGCCAACATCAGATGAGACAGATTCATACTTCGGAGGTCAGAATGTAAACATGGCTACAAAAACGAGTCCACAACATCCGCCTTTTAAGGAGGAAGCCCTTGAGCCAGCAAGTGAGTTTAGAATCGAACTACAGCCGTGGGTTTTCTCAAGGCCATATTATCCAATGGGCCTCATGGGCAGGGGCCCACTAGAGGCACTTTGTGTCAAGGGGCCCCTACCATCATCATCCGGCCCCTGGTTTTCTAAACTATGAGCTGTTCTTTAACTTTTACAGATGTTTCCACTGCAGCTCCAAGTTTCCTTGCTGGGATCTACACAGATGATGATGACTCAGCACAAATGGTAACAGAGACATGGTACGAAGCTCTTAACACTCTTAGTCACATTACTGTGATATGGTTGATAGTCGCATCCTATGGGCGGGACATTTGAATGGTAAAGGGAACAAAGACGTTTGCTCATCCTAAAAGTTTTGTCTCACTTTTCAAAGCAGCAACACCTCCCCCCGGTTTTCCACGGGAAGTGTGAGCAGCGTGTAATGTAAAGATGAGTTTTACCTGCCTGCTCCACACCTGACAGCGAAAGCGTTCCAAGCAGCTGGCCCAGTGAGGTCACGAGAATTTTAAGCCCTCACCAGATTTCGGCAGTTCATCTTAAAAAGTATTTGGTTTATCTGGACTACAGGGGTTTCACAGGTAGTTACATCATTTTTTTTTACTAGTTAAGCAAATGGAAACCTGCATGTGACTTTTATTTTGAAAGTTTTCAGATGTTGTACATTGCTTTTGTCTTTGAGTTCTTGTCTGACCCGATCTAAGTTGCTGAGCTTGATACGTTCTAGAAGCATTTAGCACATAAAAAAAATAGACTTGAAGCGTAAATTTAGCAGAGTGACACATCCAAACAGCATTTGTGTCCAGCGGAAACATACAAATCCACTCTAATGGCGACTAGTTGCTGCATACTGTGCTTTGTGAATGTTACTCAATGCTTACTCATCTTGTAGAAAGGCCCATTTAGAAGCCATTTGGCGCAATTATATCTCAACTGCCCAAAGAAAACTTAACAGATATTCCAGCCATGTGTGGTGTGTTATGAGTGCTCTTGTCTGCTCGGAGAGAGATCGAGACCACTCCTGTCATAAATCAGGAAAATTAAACATGTTGGATTGTCTTGGCCCAGTATTGCATCATGTGTGGTGACCCACGGGATAAACGAGTGTGCAGCTTGTTGACTGTTACACGTAGACACATATAGTCAGAAAGCGAGGTGATGGAAGCATGCTGAGAAGAATCCTCCTCCACCTTGTTTGTTTACTCCACTGTCACATTTGATCTTTTTGAGTCTGATCTGGGTTTTAAACAGCAAACAACTATACTTGTTATTGCAACTTGTGTTGCAGTCATAAATAACAAAATGAATATTCTTTTGCATCACCCAGCCACAATCCAAATAACCTTGGGCCATCTTCCGTGCCCCTGACATCCTCCTGTCATACCGCCACCTACTTATCTCCATCGATCATCACTGGCTCTGAAGGACAGGGGCAGACAGGAAACAAAAAGAAACAGGACAAGGCTTATCTGGACTCAACGGCTCGGCGCAGAGTGGAAGCCAGAGAGAAGAGGCGTGAAAGGAGAGAAGTGTAAATGTCAGAGTCCCTCAGATGGATAGCTACAGCCTTTGAGCTGCTGTCCTCCAAGCAGGACACGGTCACTGCTCTCCTGCAGAGGCTGGCTGACCAGAAATGAAGCTGTAGGGTGGGAAAGCTGCATTACCAACCCAGTCTTCTCAAAGCCTTTGCTGCAACTGTAACCGTCACATAATGCCAATGTTTCTAAACTGAATAGATATGAATATAAAGAAAAAAGGGAATTCAAACATAGGCTCCTTGTGTCAATATCTATTGGATGAGGTGATGGCAGCAGAGGAGTTAAGTATCAAGCCCTACTCAGTCTGTCGCTGCCATTGTGTCCTTGGGCAAGACACTTTACTCTCATTACCTGCTGGAGGTGGTCGGAGGGACTGGTAGCACTTGTGCACGGCTGCCTCACCTCTGTCAGTGCGCCCCAGGGCAGCTGTGACTACAATGTATCTCATCACCACCAGGGTGTGTGTGTGTGTGTGTGTGTGTGTGTGTGTGTGTGTGTGAAAGACTGTGTTGTAAAGAGCCTGAGGCGGTTCTAGGACTCTAGAAGGCTCTATATCAAACATAGGCTATTTACACCTTGAACAGGTCACTAGTCCATCAGAGACACTAGAGCCAATTAAGAGCTGCTAATGCAGCATTTAGGACTAACGTTTGTAATGATTATTTAATAAATGTTAAATTCACAGAAGCCTTGGAGATCCTGCTTCTGGGAAAATGGAACTGGCATCGACTTCAATAAACAAGTGTTTGAATCTGAAATATTGTTATTATTATTATTATTATTATTATTATTATTATTATTATTATTATTTACAATTATTATTAAATTGTTATAATTGATTTCAGGCTGGCCACAGATTTCCTCCAAGTAGTTTTTTTTTTTTGTAGCAGGAGCCTCTCTGCTGGTTGAGGGCGTGTCTTCATAATTGTTTCACTTTCATTTCTCCGACAGCAAACAGAAGACCCGCTTAATGTTAACAGGGCTACCTACCTACTGACGCGACTTTTAGGAGGAAACAGAACGAATTCACACGGGTGAGCTCTAATTTCACTGATCACAGAAGTTCATGTTACTGTTTTTCTTTATGAAACACTTGGAAAATATACAGTTTAACATATTACACTATTTTGTTTTCATTTTCAAGTGTACATAAAGGACTTATTCGGGTTTTTTCTAAAGAGGTATGATTGTGCTGGCTCTCAGGACCAGTACACTATGTTGAAAAAGAATAAAAGGCGACAACACGTTTTATGTAGCATCCGGGTATTTTGCCCCAAAGTACGTTTCCCGCCCCTTCTTCCCTACGTTCCACGGTTCCGTTCCGTGTTCAGTAGAGTGACGTGGTGGTGCCTAACTGTTCTGGACCTCCAACACAGCATTTATGATCCTCCATGATCATGCCTGCATGGTGCATTCAGGTACAGCTGGTAAATCCAAAGATCCACTCTGAAATACTCTTGATAGAAACACAAAAGTAAAGGGAGATGCTCCAGTTAGGTAATTGGCAACTGTTTTATATAAATATTGACGTTTGATTAAAACACCAGTCAGGCTCAGGTCATTCTGAAAACCATTCGAAATATTTCCGAATTGTCTGCCTGATTGTCTCCTTGCTTCACCAGTGCACTCCTCCTTTTAAGCAAAGCTCAGGCTCTGTCTCCCTGCCAGATTATCGACAGCCTTGTGCCAGTAGAGACTCCAGCGATATTTTCAAACAAGCCTTTTGACTTTTGACCACGTTTTCTGTCCATGGATTCTGCCTGCCTTGCCCCTCACGGATTCTCTCACCCATCTGTCATCTGGACCCCGACCTTGGCTCTGAACTTTGACTATTGATCTCAACCCCCTGATAAGTATTGTTGACTTCTGCCTGTTTGTGTATGATCTTGTCGGTACCTCACTCTGACGTTGGATTTTTGGATACTTGAACTTCTGTGGGCGGTACTAACTGTCTGTGTCGTTTTGAGGAGAGGAGTTAAATCCACAGACCAAAGAAAGAGCTACCATAGCTGGCACCAAGACAGTCCCACCCCCTCTCCCTGTCATGGCAGCATGTGCTGCTCCGTCTCCAGTTTTCCTATCAGCAGAATCTTATGTTTATGTTTATTTATTTGACAGACGCTTTTATCCAAAGCGACTTACAATTTATAACCTATAGGGCTTGTTGTGATCTGTGGGGGAAACCGGAGTACCCGGAGGAAACCCACGCATGCATGGGGAGAACACGCAACTCCACGCAGAAAGGCCGCAGCCGAGTTTCGAACCTGCAACCTTTGTGCTGCGAGGCAACAGTGCTAACATCTGCGCCACCATGCAGCGATCTTCTGCGATTCCCTGATTCTCCCACATTTTAAATTAAAAACCTTCTTTAACGTTTTACTGCTGTGTTCTGGCTGAATTTCCGGGTCTTCAGGTTATACCCATTATACAAATCATAAAATCAAGAAGTGATCCACAGTGTTGTTTGAGCACATATTAAAGCTGCTGCAGCGAATCTGCAAACCAGCTAGGTTTTGAATGCCAACAGTCACGGAGCATTCACCCCTGTGCGAAACCCCGGGTATCTTCGCTGGTTCTGTGTTCACCAGAACCAGAAACCCACATTGCCAAAGTAAAAATATCACAAAACACCAGTCGCTGTTTTCTAAATCCAAACGTCTTTTGTTGTCCGTGACTTCAAAAGGTGTTTTTCTCTTGGGACTCTGGTAGTTTGTCTTAAAGTTGAAGTGGTAGCAGCCAGTCTCCTTCTCTGGTATTGAGTGGAGAACTTCTCACACCAGTGGTGTTCTGTTGCTAATTATGTGAGCGTGTAATGAATGGAGGACCCAGGGAAGTTTGGTGGTTTGGCGAGACCGACAGTCACATGGTAACATAGTTGCTTTCAGTCTGAGCCATTTTAAAGGGAGCCTACAGCTGGAAATATATTTGCTTTTTAACCTCGCTTTGACACAGGCAGCAGACTACGTCACATAGTACTGGAGTGTTCCACTAGAGGGCACAGTAGGGAACTCGGGCCGAGAATAGAATTCTGGATTTGTAGGGTACAGTCAAAACAAACATTGAGTCAATAGAAGAGATCAGTAACGGGATCATTTTGAGCTCAGGACAGAAAAAGGATGGCGGAAGTAGCGTAGATGGTACCTCTAAAGTGACTTGTGTTTATTCCACCTAGTGGTTACATGCATATTGAATCATGCAAATGCGTCGTGTTAATTTCGGGGGACATGCACAAACAACCTGTAGCGTTAGCGCAAGTTACGCGAGGCAACTATTTTAACTCATTCGCTGCCAGCCGTTTCCTGATCGGTAAAGTCCTTCACTGCCAGCGTTTCTCACCGTTTTTACTGTTTTTTTAAGAGTCACAGAACAGTTGCGCGCTAGGATGATGTCGACGCCAAAACAACCAAAACAAAGCGGAGACTCACCTCTTACATCAGGAAGAATCCGCGCGTTTCGAGTGTTATCCGTTCTTTTATTATCCGTTGTTAATTGTGATCGGCAGAAGCTTTTCCGGTTCGCGCCTAACTTTTTTTTACAGCAGCAGCCCAAAATAATCTCCTAACACGTGGATGTTCTGCTTCCTGATCACGTGACGTATGCGGATAAAGATCGACTTTAGAGCTGAGATGTTTGTTCTCACGGTGCGGGGGCTCGTTCCAACGCCCACACAGTTCAAAACATGCAAATGACAACTGTAATCGTCATTGGCAGTGAATGAGTTAAACACGTGTACACATATCGGGAAACAGCAAGTAGATTTCCAGCCTAACTTTCCTCATGGGTCCCCGGAACAAAGAAAAAAAAAGGAAGTGAACGAGGTATAAGAGGTATTTTTTAATTTGCTTTGCCCTATGCCTTGACTCACAAATATGGTAAATGGTAAATGGCCTGTATTTGATATAGCACCTTCTAGAGTCCTGGAACCCCCCAAGGCGCTTTACAACACAATCAGTCATTCACCCATTCACACACTGGTGGGGATGAGCTACGATGTAGCCACAGCTGCCCTGGGGCGCACTGACAGAGGCGCCACCGGTCCCTCCGACCACCACCAGCAGGCAACGTGGGTTAAGTGTCTTGCCCAAGGACACAACGACAGCGACAGACTGAGTGGGGCTCGAACCTGCAACCTTCCGATTACGGGGCGAGCACTTAACTCCTGTGCCACCGTCGCCCACATTCTTGCTTTATAAAAAATAATGACCTTTAACATTTTTTTCATTGACTTGATTCATAATATTTAATCACATTTGATTTAAACATACCCTTAAACTTTACCACTGTTGAACAATCTTTTTGCTCCTCGTCTAATTTATTCCACACATCAACCATAACACTAAATACAAAGTTGTTTCATTTTAGTTCTTACTTTAGGCTTTCTAAACACTTTATACCCTCTGAGATCATAAACACACTCTGATCTGGAACAGATCCTGAATTTGTTTTGGCATCAAATTATTCATCACTTTATACATAAATTGTGCCGTTCAAAATGTAACTAATTTTCTTAGCTTTAAGATTTTTAAACGAATAAAAAGTAAATGCGTATGCTCTCGAAATTCATGAAAATTTTATAGAATTAAAAGAATTTTGTTTATTGGGTCTTTGGTAATTTAAGACCTTCGGAAACTGTATTTAAGGATTATTTGTAATTTTTAAGGACTTTCAAGGCCTTAAATTTGGAAAAGCAAATTTAAGACTTTTTAAGACTTTTTAAGGATCCTGTATAAAGAATAAACAACAAGGGACCTTACACTGACCCCTGTGGGATCCCGGTGGTCACTGTCAGTAGCTGTGAATTAGTGTTGTTAATGTGGCCGTATTAGAGTCTGTTCTCTAAATAACTCTTAATCCAGTAATAGGCCACACCCCTGATGCCATATCTACACAATTTTTTGATTAATAAGTCATGATTGACAGTATCAAAAGCTTTGGTCAGGTCTAAGAACACCCCAACAGCATATTGTTTGTTGTCAGTTGCATCAGATATTTTCTCCACTAGATCAACAATTGCCAGAGAAGTTGTCCAATCACGTCTGAAACCATATTGCTGTTCAGAAAGAATATCATGATGCTCAATAAGGTCATACAATCTTTTATGAAATATTGTTTCTAGTATTTTGGAGAATTGAGATAAAATAGAAATCGGTCTGTAATTAGAAAATTCATGTTTGTCTCCAGCCTTATAGTTAGGAATGACTTTTGCAACCTTCATCCTTTCAGGAAATCTTCCTGATTGGAGAGACTGATCACAAATATGTGTAAGGGGTTTGGCTATAATCTCAATGATTTCTTTTAAAACAGACATATCAAATCCATGCAAATCTGCTGACTTTTTACTTTGAATTTTTTTAACAAGTGTTATAACTTCATTTTCATTTGTGCCTTGAATAAATATGGTTTTATCTACATTTGTTATTTTACTTACAGCATCAGCATCTAATCTAGTATTTGCTATATCCTTTGCCAAATTTGGCCCAATTTCGGTAAAATACTTATTGAATTCATTTGCTATTTCTTTAGACTGATAAATTTCGACTGATAAATTTCTTGATTGTCTTTTGTTAGAAAAATATTTGGAAGACTATTGATGCCACTACCCTTTTTTATTATATCATTTAATATATGCCATGTATTTTTAATGTTAGATTTATTTTCTTCCCATAAATTACTATAATAATTTCTTTTACTAGATCTCATAATATTTATTAATTTATTCTTGTATATCTTATATTTCTGTTCTGCTTCCTCCATTCTTTTCTTTAAAAAGTCTTTATACGGCTTTATTTTTTTTTCTGCAAGCCTTCTGAGTCCCCTTAGTTATCCACGGCTTTTAGCATATTTATTCTTATTCACCTTATAAAGCAATGGGCAATTTTTTCCATAAAGAGAAGTTACAATATTTAAAAAATTTCCATAAGCCATATTTACATCTTCCACATAAACCTCCTCCCAATTTTGTTCCATTAAGTCAGCTTTAAATGAATTTACTGCTTTTTGACTACAAATCAGATGTCGGTATATATGGAACTGTTCCATAGGGTACAGTGTGTCCCCTAAAAAATTTTCCAGCTGTAGCGGTGTGGCCGGCCGGCCAGCGGGGGTGGGTGGGTGGGGGGGGGGGGGGGGGGGGGGGGGAGAAATTATGACACGTCTCTAAATAAAGTAAAATTTTCCAGTGCAGAGTGGAGACAACCCATAGAAGCACCGATTTGATCTCATTTCAGAGAAAAATAGAACAGGTCAGATGCACCTAATAAATAAAATTACTAACAAACTCAGGAATCGGTTTCTTTGCTTCACTGTTCTGGTCCTGAGAATATCACTAATGCGGATCAAAGGAGATACACGGACGAATGCACCTCTTATTTATTATATGGAAACTACATTTACTGCAGCTGGCAGAGGCAGAGATTTTTTCTATTGATACACAGAATTTACAGAATCATTTTAAATGTTAATGGGGAAGACTGCAGGAGGGAGCGGTAAAATACAGGGGTCCCCAGCAAAAACAAGAAACTTTACGAGTCTGATGAAACCCGCTGGTTTTCCATCAGGCCGTCACGGGGCAGCTCCAACGACCCAGTGGCTGTGCTGGGTCAATGTTATCGAGCCCAGTCCGGCTCGGCAGAGGGTGAACGAGCCGAGGCGACGTCGTGCTCTGCCTAAGAAGAGGTGTTATTTTCCCATTTCAGAAGAAGCGTCCAACGTGTTTTTACGCTTTCTCCGAGACATGTCACGTCGCTAAGTTGTTAGCGCCACACGCTAACACGTCAATAGTGCAGCGTAGCCTGCTGGAGGTTTTAAGGGTTCAGATGAAATCACCCGACCTCTCAGGCTGCTCACACATCGATCTTAAGTTGTCGCTGTTGCGCTCACACCGTAATACAGTATTAGATGCGGTTAAAGTCAGACATGAAAAAATAAATAAATTTTACATGAATAAGTGATGCTTACCCTGGTGGGGGGAGGAAACCCTGTCAAGATCGTCAACACTCATTTATCTTAATGCTATTGAAACATGTAAACCAAAAATCATTATATCCACTGCTACCTTTCTAATTTTAAACTCAGTAACTTATGCTGTAACTTCACCTTGCCCTGCCTGCTCCTTGCTGCCTGCCGGCTGTGATCACAAGCGACAACATAGTAGTTCCCTCTGCTTCTTCGGGAAACAGCGCAAAAAAAAACTTGGGATCTTGTAGGCGTGGCGGTGGGATTTCAGCCGTGGCGGGCCGCCACGGCTACGCCTATGTAAGGGAAACCCTGCGGTAGGGCTGGAATGATAATCAATAAATCATTTAATAGTACGATTGTTGAAAATGAACTCCTTAATTTTTTACAGCCTTAATATGTCGGTCTTTGTCAGACATGTGACCTGCATGTCTACCACACCCCCTTAGCGCCATTTAAGGTGTATGACTCGCATTGATAAGGGAAGCCACAGCTGAAGTTGAAGCAGAAAAAGAATCAAAAGGATGGATAAAAAGGACAAGGACGAACGCATCCTTTACAGGCATAAACTTCTGAAGGAGGCTAGAGATCGGTATTTTCAGATGTTGTCTACAGTCAATAACGTTGATCTCAACGACCTCAAAGGAAACAAACAGAGATCAGACGTAGGGCTGGACGATAATTCAATAGTTCAATATTATCTATCGATAGACATGTGGTGCGATAGAAACAAGACAGGTCGATAAAAATTTGATAAAGTTTCCTTTTTTTTATTATAACCCTTTTTTCATTATAACCTATCAGGTAGCAGCATACTAGACTCACTACTTACTCCTAACCAATCGAAACCACAGACTCGGCTACGTCACCAGGCCCTCCCCTCTCAAACCAAAACAGAGCATGAGGCAGCAAGATGTCGCAGCGAGAAGAGGCGGAGAAAAAATAAAAATACCAAAAACAAAATGACCAGGGCTGCACGTAAAAAATATTTTCTACAATTTTGTCAATATTTTTCAATAATTATCAATATCCATCAATATAAAAAATGTAATTGAAATAAATTGAAATTTAGCCCTGTTGTGAACTCGCACTCAGTCCAGGGTGTACCCCGCCTGATTGCCCATTGATTGCAGGAGATAAGCAAATCTGTGGTGTTGGTGACAGAATGTTCCATTCTTCATTCTAATGGCTGGAATGTTGTTCTTTTGTGTTTTCTATGCTTTTTTAACAGGAGTTGCTGAGTATTTGACCGATTTTTGGTTTGGTAAAAAGACCAAATGGAGAGGAAAAGGTCTTGGGAAAAGTCCAGTTGTGCAGAAGAAGAAGAAGAAAAAGAGGAGCAAGTGGAACAAAAACACGAGGCTGGAAAAGATAGCCAAACAACGAGTTACACATATGATGATGATGAGGAAAAAGACGATTATGAAGATTACGAATATGGTGATGATGATGGGAAGGATGGAATGGGTTTCAGTGAAGATGATGATGATGACGATGGCAATGATGATCCTCCTTCTGATCATGATTATGGTGATGATGATGATGCTGAGGATGATGATGGTGATCCTCCTGATCATGATTTTAGTGATGATGATGATGATGATCCTTCTGATCATGGTTTTGAGGTTGATGATGATGGGAGGGAGGACTGGGGTGAAGTTAATTATGATGAGGAGGATGAGGATGATGATGATGGTGATGAGGAGGACTGGGAGGGGAATCATCACTTTGATGGTGACTACAAAAAGAAGGATGAAGGCCATCATAACCAAGTTTCACCAGGAGAGAGTAAGTCTTTATTTGAAATCATCACATCTTTTACTTTGCCAACATGTTTTTGAGAATAAACTTCTTAGCATAGGAAGTTAAAGCTGTTATAGCAAATCTGCAATCAAGCTAGGTTTTGATCGCAAACAGTCACGGAACACTCACCCCTCTCCTCGGGCGTCTTCTCTGGTTCCGGAACCAGAAACCTGCATTGCCAGAGGAAATGAGATAGCGCTAAACACCAGTCGCCATTTTCTACGTCTAAACGTCTTTTGTTGTCCGTGACATCAAATGGTATTTTTCTTTTTGGGACATTGGTAGTTTGTTCTGAAGTTGAAGTTATAGCAGCCTGCTGTTTCTCCTTCTCTGGTATTGAGCGGAGACAGTGTTGCCAACTTAGCAAATTTGTCACCATTTCTAACGCCTTTTCAGACCCCCTTAACGACATTTTTTTCAAAAAAGCGCCTAGCGACAAATCTGGTGACATTTCTGACCCTCTCAGCTACTTTGACTACAACTTTGTAGCCGACTTTACCTGCAGATTAGAGATGCATCTGAAGCGACAGGACCGTCCTTCCTTCCAGAGGATCAGAAAGAAAATGATCTGCGCATGTGCTTGCAGCATGATCACACTACCCCCGTTGGCCAATCAAACCTTTTGTGGGTTTTCACAAGTCTTTGAGATAGCCACCGGAGCTACATAAAGGGCGACCGCTCCTTCCGCCATCCTGCCGCATTTCGGCAGCTGAGCTCGGCTGGCACTGGCAGGCAGCGTCGCACTCACACATGGCTTCCCACCACTTGTGGTGCATTCAAGGAACATTGGAACTCTAAGATGAGTTCAATAACATAGCACATTTAAAACTTTTATAAAAAACAGAATAATACTGTAAGTCATTGGCAGGTCATTGGCAGTTTGCATATAACGTTTCTGAATACTAAATATGACCTTCTTTTTACACAAAAGTACTAAAAACAACAAAACCAAACAAAAACAAAATATGTTATATATATATATATATATATATATATATATATATATATATATATATATATATGTACCGTAAATCCTCTAATACAGGCCCGGGCCTGTATTTGACTCAAGCTCATCAAGCTCCAGGCCTTTATTGGAAGGAGGGCCAGTATTAGAGGCAGGCATCTATTTCTATTTGAGCAAAATGAACTAATGGTTCGCTGGAGTTTTTGACAATTAAAATTGCACCCACATTTTCAAAGTTAAACACTTTTCTTTTAACAACGGTAGTTCCTGCTTCAGCCCTCTCCCCTCCTCCTGCACAGCGGCGCAAATTCACTGATTCGCCTGCAGCCTCTCGGAGTTCCTGCTGCTCTAAACATTAAAATAATTATTTCATTTTCTGTTCCTCACTTCTGAATACTTTCAATGGTGTTTGTTTGTTGCAACCAGCAGGTACAAAAACTAACTTGTTTTTATTTGACTATTTTTCTGTCCTGTCTGTTTATTATCTTCCTGCATCTCCTCTCAGTCCTAAAGAAAAACTGCTGCCTGGGTTCATATATATTCACCTTATGAGTTACCTTTGAACTGCAGTTCTAAAAGATCTACCGACCGCAAAAACAGCGGAGCGCTCCCTGTTTGGCGGCCGTATCAGTGATCAGTGCGTCGGAGGACAAGGTGATGCCCGCAGCGCCCCGCTCCACAGCATGCAGCGAAACGCATCAGGCGCAAATAAAAGACAGAAAACATTAAAGGAAATGAACTGACATGAATGGTCGCGTGTTAAATTAGTTTTTGAGGTGGCGACACCTGATTGTTACTGTGGCCGTGCTCAGGAGGCAGATCTACGACCGCGAAAACAGCGGAGCGCTCCCTTCTTGCCGGCCGCATCAGTGATCTGTGCGTCGGAGGACAAGTTGATGCGCCCCGCTCCACAGCAGCGATACACATCAGGCGCAAATAAAAGACAGAAAACATTAAAGGAAATGAACCGACATGAACGATCGCGTGTCAGTACCTACGGTCTGGCACAGCGCGTTGCTGATCACAGAGAATGTGATCATACGATAATTCAATAGGGAGCGTGGTTTCACAGACGCGGAAGTGATAGCGTCGGTGAAACGCCGGCTGATCTAGGAAACCCCCGAGCGTTCGAGCGTCAACGAAGTGACACGGAAATGCCGGGCTTTCCAGAAGTAAGAAAGATAACTTACTATGAGCTGATAGTTCGTTGGATTGATTGGTAGGTTGGAAACTCTGATCATGAATCTGAAGAAACGATGACTGAGTGGTGAGCTGGAAAGGCGACTTCCGTTTATAGCCGCGGTTTGTGACGTAGGTGCGACGTGCAGGGAATCCCCGCGAGAGGCATGCTGGGAGTCCCTACTTCGCGGATTTTCACCTATCGCGGCCAGGTCTGGAACGTATCTACCGCGATAAACGAGGGATTACTGTAGTTCATACACCCCCTACTGCTGCTCTCCAGAGTGTTCTGCAGCATAATCAGCACGTTCTCTTTGAACTTGATAGTGTAATGACCTGGCTGGGGTTGTAAGCCAGGTGCATTCTGGGTATTGTGTTATATGTGTTTCCTATCGTTCTGCTAGTTCCTATGTGCTGATTTGCGTGTTGTGTGAGCGTTATGTACTGGGACGTAATTTTGGGGGGGGGACGGGTGGGACATGTCCCCCCCACTTTTTCAAAAGGCAGTTTTGGTCCCCTGCACTTTTTTCCGTCCGAAAACAATGTTACGCTCCATTAAATGGATTTGGTTGAGCACTAGGACCGAAATGGAAACCGGTTTACTATTAGACCCGCCCAAAAGCTAATCTATTGGCTCTGCTGATACTTGCTAACGTATTATTGGCTGTTGCTGCTGTCACTCAAGTTGTAAACAGTCAGAACGTGCTCACGTTGTTTTGCTAGTTTGGAGCCGCTAGGGAACACCGGTACTGAGTCACATCGTCAACTAGACGCTGTGTAATATCAGAGCTCAGCTCAGCTTCCATTACATAACATAACATTTGAATAAGTGTTCATTTGTGAGTCTTTGGTAGTTAGGCACAGCCAGGAGGGAGCATGTCAAGAAAACAAAAAGTGGATATAAGAGACTTCTTTCAAAGTCAAAACGTAAGTTGGAACACGTGACAGACCTGCATTAAGCTCAGACTCACCTCCTCCTTCACAAACATACTCAAAACTAACTTTTACAAACTCATCTCCTCCACATAACTGACTCCTCAGACACAATTTATTCGTATTATTATAATAATTATTTTTTTATTATTACTATTATCATCATAATTATTATTACTAGTAGTAGTAGAAGTGTAACTTCAAAACTTTTATCATTTAACTTTATTGTAAACTTATCTATTGCAATGTATATTTTCACATTAAAAAGCTCTGAAAAATGAACAGTATCATCATCGTCAACAGATTTTTTAAGCTTAATGTCAAAGATGTACACTTTTCATTAGATTTATCTTATTTTTTCCATTTATTTTTTGTGTGTTGAAATGCAACAACTGTTTAAACACTTTTAAGGGAAAAAACATTTAATATGTTTTTATACACTCAAATGTTAGGGTGATGATCATGTGTAAAACATTAGTTCAGCATGTCCTCTAACACAGCAAATGAACAAACGGCCAGATCTCAGGAGGGACCGTTTATGTATAAATAATTTTTATACTTTTGACTAGGCCTGGGAATGTAACAAATTTTGCTGGACGATATTTTGTCCAACAAATTGTTGATGATAAACGATATCATTGTCAACATTATCTAGACCAAAATAACCACTAATATAATGTTAATATATCATAATAATGCAAGTACACCCTTTAAAATGCAACAAATAAACCTTCATTTAACATTGAAATGTCCAGAACTAGAACTACTAAATGAATAAAAATAACAAACAAAAATTAAATAAAAAAGGAATCTCACTCCCTGTTAGAAAATGTTGCACCAAAAACAATAAAAAAAGACCCAAAACAATAAACACAATGGCCTATCCATTGTCAACAGCCAAAACTGCACTTCAATAATGATAATAAATAAAAATAATAATAGAGTTGTACATTTTTTAACTTTGATATATATATATATATATATATATATATATATATATATATATATATATATATATATATATATATATATATATATATAGGATGGAAAAATTATTGAGATGGGCACGTGACGTAAAAAAGGGGTCTTTACATAACACCCCCCACCCCAAATCCGCACAAGCCTGCTGTGTCCCCCCCACTTCTGAAATCAAAATTTCGTCCCTGGTTATGTAAGCCACAGGGAAGGTGATGTGTGTTCTGTGGAGCGGGTTGAATTAGCATGGTTAACTGACACCGTGACTCTGTGTAGTAGGAGCGTGATTGAGGATCGTGTCTGTAGCGTTACAAAGCGTTGAAGAAAAAGTCTAATAAAGGTCTGCGTGAACCCCTACTGCCTCCTGCTGGTTGATTTGGGGACTGTAACCCTGCCGCTGGGACGCTTGTACTTGCTTGTTGCCACATTCCACCCGGCCACAATAAGAGACCGGTCATTATTTACCTCCGCTGACTCCGACACCGGCCAAAATTGGAGGCCTGTATTAGAGGATTTACGGTATGTATGTATGTATGTATGTATGCATATATATATATATATATATATATATATATATATATATATATATATATATATATATATATATATATATATATATATAATCTTTTAGGTCAATATATAGCACTGAATCACAACAGAAGAAGACATCTCAAGACACTTGAAACTACAACAGAAAATTCATTTTAATTCAATCATACATGCATTCCTATCAATTTAATATTTTTGTGTTTGAGTTCCATTCTCTTGAGACAAAATATAAATATTCCTTCCATTTTTTTGTGCCATCTTTCCTTGATGTTTTAAAGGCTGCTGTTTTGTATTCTATGGGGTTTTTATTTTAATAAAGTATTAAAAAAGAAATAAAATAATTTTTTTAATAAAATCACGTGGGTTTTATTTAATTTACTGTACAAGACTGGTGACGTCATGACGCAAACCAGATGACGTCATTGTGTCGTATGCAAATTAGCATGTGACGTCATTTGACGACATCTAGTGACTTTTGGGGGGAACTTCAGCTACTTTCAGTCAAAAACAGTTGGCAACACTGAGCGGAGAACCTCTCTCACCAGTGGTGTTCTAAATACGTAAGTGTGTAATGAGTGGAGGACCCTGGAAAGTGCGGTGGTTTGGCGAGACTGAAAACCGGATGGTCCAATGGTTTCTTTTGGTCCCAGTCGTGCCATGGGGGATGTTTTCAGACAAATGCCAGAGAACCAATTAATTTGTTTTTTTAATTCTCCATGATTGAAGCTATGCCAGAATCATCAACATATATACCGGACAATGCATTTCCATAGGCTCCAATAATAAGTTTTAAGCCAAAATGGGAGGTGGCCGCCTAGATCATTTAAACCAAAAACATGTTTTGGAACCAGACTGTAAACATGTTTATTTCTGCTGTGAAATTGGTATTTTTAACATGGGAGTCAATGAGGATTTGCTCGCTTCTGACACCAGCCCCTAGTGCAGGGGGTGCGCGAGCTGCCGCTAGGGGGTGCACGAGGTGAAAAGTGTAATGGCTGCGGAGCTCAGAGAAGTCTGTCAAAAGTCACCATTAGCGTAGCCAGAAACTCATTTCTGGGTGGGCCTAAGAAAATGTAAGTGGGCCCAATAAACGTAATTGAAAACAAGTATATTTTGCTTGTGTGTGTGTGTCCTCCGCACATGCCCTAGCTCAGGGGTCGGCAATCCGCGGCTCTGGAGCTGCATGCGGCTCTTCCATCCATCTGATGCGGCTCTCTGTGCTTGTAAAATAATGAATGGATATTTAAATAAAAAGCTTTATATTTTACTGCATTAATTTTACATCTGTATGCCAATTCTAAATGTAAAGATTGTCTGCGTAAACCTGAACAGTTCCAACCCGGTCTACTGTGTGACCGGGTTGACGCGTCACGCTTGTGCGTAATCATATGCGCTTTCTGAGCTGAAGACGATGTGGAGACAGGAACAAGCACAATTCAGCCAAAGTTTCATCATCAGGGAACATTTTCCAAGTGACAAGTCTCTCTGAGAGACCGGGTTTGGAAAACTCTCGCTTCAGTGGAAGGAATCTTCCCGCATGCGCTCTGGTTCTGCGACGTGCTCCAAGCCCCTCTCCACATCTTCAGCTCGCTGTGCACCTTATGTACTCGCTGACAGTGAGCTGCGCTGAGCGGTGTCCAGCTCAGATGTTCAGAAGGAAATCTTTTCTTGGGTGATTTAGCTACATCTGCGATTTGCGAAACTAATAAAGTGTCAGTTCGTCTGCATGCGTCGGGGTAATTCTTTCTATTCTTTCTCCTTCAAAATAAACGGTCAAATACGGGAACTGTCCGGTCAACACAACACATGCCCTGCTTTTAACTTTTCTGTTTTCTTGTGAAAATTGTTACAAATTTAACTTGATTAACACCAGAGCCAGGCGCACTGCACCGTTATCTCCGTCACTGTAAATGAGGGAAAAACAAAATGATCGGATCCTTTTCTGACCTTCCCCACCTACAAAGTTTAATTACAACAATCAAACGTGACAGAGCCTGGAGATATATATATATATATATATATATATATATATATATATATATATATATATATATATATATATATATATATATATATATATATATATATATAACCATGCCCTGATGTGGGGCTGGGGGGTGCGTCAACATGGTCGGGACATAGAAGGGGGTGCGCGGCTAAATAAGTTTGGGAACCACTGCCCTAGTGGATGAGGGTGGAACTGCAATTTTTGTCACTTCCGTGTTAGCCTCATTTTCAGACCCGAATTATGGGGGCTTGGTTAGAATGTTGTTAAGAGGCATGAACAAATGTGTTCTTTTGTTTTCCTGATTTCCTATAGCAGCTTTAAATCCCAACAGGTAAAATGACTGGTTGTCATGCAACATACTGTTGATAAATAATTGTGTTTTAACCATATGGAACAGCACTTCTATGTGTTTTCTGTCTTCAAGCTCCAGGACTGTGGTCCATAACCTGTGGAGCCAAAAATGGCCTACTAGATATAGAAAGGCTGAAGCAAGGTAAGGAGAAAACACATTTGAATCTTCAGGATTAATTT